GTCCAGAGACTATCTCCGCAGACTGGCTAAAAAAACCACGATCCGACACTCCAAGTGGCTGGATGCCGGCAGTCCCAGCCCTGGCCAACGCCGCGGCGGTAGACAGGAAGACGCTGACAAGGAGGGAACGGTCAACTATCATCCGTATCCTGACCTTGCCCATCGATCCCTGGAGGATGGCGTCTTCCACCGTCAGATGACGGCAGACAGAGTGCAGGCGCACCTGCGCTCATTCAAGATCGATGACGTGCGCGAGGGGATGCGCCTGCGTCGCGAGAGCCAGCGGCTCGGGTATGCTGGCCAGCGGGTGCAGGCTCCCGGGGCGATGCTTTGTGGCGAGCGGCTCGACCGCGGGCACTTGTTCTTTTCCGCTCCCACCAGGGAGGGCGAGGTCACATGAACCGTGTCACGCTGAACGACCTTCGGACGCAGGTGCCCGAAGGCGCTGGCAAGGGTAAGACATGCGACTTTACTGTCGCCTCCGGTGAACCCATCCGCCTCGCCCCTGCTCCTCCACCCCCGCGCCGCGATGGCCCCGCTCCCGCTTGTGCTCCTGGCGGTGCTGGCTGGGCTGACGCTGCGGACAGGAGTGGTGGAGCCGCCCATTCGTCGACATCCCGCCGTCCCTTGACACCACCGAGGCGCGAGCACGACTACAATGACGACCGTGGCCGTAGCAGGAATCCCGCGCGCGAGTACCGCTACGTCTACACCTCTTGGCGTCGCGGACTCCAGCGCTACCAGCACGATGCGTACCGTTACTGGTCACGCCACCTGTCCCAATGGATCTATGTCGACAGCGACGACAGCGAGTACATCTGGTCATGGGACAACTACCAGACTATCACCACCAGCTGGTTCAATGACTACGGGAATCGTGTTTGGGATGAGCGTTGCTACGAGAACCGGACGTGATTATGGGTTGACATAGTTTACTGCGTACCTTGGTATGTATATCTTACCACCACATATTCTGGATATTGTTTTGATAGCGTTGCGTGTGCTATCTTTGGGTGTTTGGGCCTATGTAACGTTCGATGGGAGATATTTGACTTCGCACTGTATATCTATATTGACTTTGATGTACATGACACGTTCTGGCAATCGGACATGCACGCGCCCAGGCAGGTCGTCCGCCAGTAGTCTTATACATTCAAAGATATGATCTTTCTTCACCATGAAACGGCGTCAGAGTACGACCGATGCAGAGCATTCTCCATGATAATTTTCGTGTTGCTTGTATTTTTGGGGCCTGGAGTGGCTCGCATCATGCGTGGATGTAATATCAGAGATCAGCTGCCATCACAACTATATTTCATATTTTTCAAACTTGGGCCTGGAGTGCCCAAGCAATCTTTTGGACCTGGAGAGCCCCGTAATCGAGATACCGTTTTGCTTTGATCGGGTTGTCGTCGCAACTCTGATCCACCCCACTCTGCGCGTGCGCCGCGTCGGTGGCAACACCTGCATCGAAGGATGCTGGTGCCACTTGTCTTGTCTCTTTCCCTTGCTCTCCCATCCCTGTCACCTGTTGTGACGGGGTGTCGTCCAGGAGTGCCGAAGCGTTTTTTGGGGGCGCACCATGGGCCCACTAAGTCGGGTAGACACTCCTAGGTACCCCGTGTGGCGAGATTGGTCCTCTCCCTCACCTTCGTAGTCGCTGCGCCCTCGTTTGGAGGGGCGGAGGATGAAACGGGGCTGCGAGTAGACCTCGCACCTCTGTTCCCGATCCCTGCCGTTGTCTTCCGTGGGCCCGAGGCCATCGGTTGCTGGCAGGTTTCGGGACGGGCTGTTTTTGCGTGAAGTCCGCTCACTTCCCTAGTACATCCCTTCCGCACTTGTATTGGCCCAGGTATTGGCTATTGGCTTTTGGCCAAACAACCTCTGTGCACTGCGTGCTGCGCAGTGCCTTGGAAAAGGAGTCATCCTACTTGCCTCTACCTACGGACCCCGTGCAGGAACGGCCCCTCGGCCGTTTCCCTGCACTCGCGCCCCTGCCCGCCGCCGCCGTCGACATCGGGGGCGGGCGTTCGTGGCGGTCGACGGGGTGATCGCGTCGATCGCGCAGGTGGCCGGCGGGGCCGACCTTGATGCCTGGGCGCGGGCCCGGCTGCAGCGGTTGCTGAAGGGCGGCCCGCGCCTGCCTCGCGCTGGCGCGCCCGTTGCGTTCGGCCTCGATGCCGCCGTGATCAAGAACGATCCGTCGGTGCCCCTTCGGACCAAGGGCCCTGGGGCTCTCGAGGACTCGGTGACGGAGCTGCGCTTGCGGTCGTTGGGGGGTTCACGGCTGGCCATGATCGTTGGTTGAGCGAATCGAGGGTGGCGGCCAGTTCCCGCTCCGGCCATGAGCATCGAATCCTGTGCCGTGCCCTGACCTTCGCGGTGGAGTCGGACGGGCTCAACATTGCGAACCTGTCGTGCTGCGAGTCCTTGAACCGTCGGCGGATGCTCAGCGAGGCCGCCCATCGTGATGATCTTGAGCGGCCAGCGTTTGAGGGCTCGCACGTCTACGTGGGAGAGGAGGAGGAGTGCACTGGGACCACAGTGACCCCTGCTCTTTGGGCGCACGTGGCGTCCGAGATGGCGAAGGAGGCGGCGACCGAGAAGGAGAAGAGGATGGCCAGGGAGGCCAAGGCGGAAACAAAGGCGGCGACGGCCCGTGCCAAGGCCCTACCGCCAGCAAAATATGGGCATGATCGTCCTGGGAGGGGGGTGGGCGCACGCCCGTCTGGCGACCCCCCTCCCAGCGTCCAGAGTAGCCGGACACGGGACCGCTGGCGGTGGGGGGATGCGCAACGACGCGCTGATTTTCCGCCTGGCCACGCTGGGCCTCGACCTCTTGGCGAGCCCCGCGAACTTTTTCCACTTCCCTTCGTCGGGGCAGAGGGTCTCGAGGAAGGTTGATGCCGGGTCGTCAAGGACGGCGCGGCGTCGCAGCACATGCCGCTGGTTGGCCCTAGACGATGCAAGCGACATGGCGGCCGCTCTCAACGCCCTCTACAGCTGCGAGCGCGACGCGGTGGGGGCGGCGAGCCCAGCGCAGCTTTCGGTGCATCGACATCTGCTGCGCGCCGCCAGGGAGGCCCGGCATAATTTTGACCAATTTCTACTGTAGAAGTTGACCAGTTTCACGGGGTAGAAGTTCTACCCCATGCATTGCGGCTCAGCTTCTAGGACCTCGTATTGACTATGGAGGCGACGGCGCCACAGTGGAACCGCATGACGCTGCTCGGCTGCCCCCCCCACCCCCTGGACGAGACCCAGTGGGTCTCGCGAAGGTGCTGGGCGACGGCGCTCAGGAGGTGCTGACCAATTTTGACAACCTCATCCTCGCGAGTCCCGACGTCGTGTCCGAGCGCGGGGGGGGGGGGCGCGCCGCCTCGCCCCTATCTTGACGCCACCTTGAGGGCGGACAAAGGGGTTCATGTGGATTCCCTCCGGCGCCCGAGGGGCTGGCGTCTCTGAGGGGTTGCGGCGGAGAAGCGCAGCCTCGTCGCTCCGTTCTTTGTCTTCGTGAAGAACGGGTAGCAGAGGCTGGCGCCGGACTGTCGCCTCGCCAACGCCATGTTTTAGTCATGCTCCCGCCGTCGAGATTGGGGGCGCCGAAGCGATGAATGCCATCGAACTCGAGCCTGGTCAGGGGTTGTTCGCTGCCTCGGCTGACGTCGATGCGCGCTTCTACCAGTGCGGCGGCATCGGGGCGCTGAGCAATTACTTCTGCCTGCCCTCGGTGTCCGAGGATGCGGCGCTCGAGCTCGGCCGAACCCGCGACGTCGTCGGGCTGGGCGTTGCGGGGCGGGGCAGGGTGCATCCCTGCCTCGCGGTGCAACCAGTGGGATGGAGCTGGAGTTTTTGGCCGGCGCAGCGTGTCCATCTCGAGGCGCTGCGCCGGGCGGCGGTCCCTGACGACAAGATGGCCCTTGGGGCTTGGCCGCTGCCTTCCTTGAGCTCTGGCCTGGTGGGGATGCCCTACTCGGACAACATCGACGTGCTGGGGGTGAGGGCGGAAGAGGTCACCGAGATGAGGGGCCGCATCGTGTCCCAGTTCGCGGGCGAGGGCTTCAGCATGCGCGAGGTCTCCGACACCTGCGCGCAATCGACCACCCTGGGAGCTGACGTGGGGGGCCATCCGTCAGTGGCCCGACGGGCTGGGCAGAAGTTGCGGCTGCTCCGCGGGGCCTTCCAGTGGCTCGCGAGCGGCCCCATCGTGACGGGTCGGCAGGTGGAGGTGATTCTGGGCCATTGCGCGGCAGCTGCTCTCGTCAACCGCGCGGGCATGGCAGTGCCCCGCGCGTTCTATGACATTTTCTAAAATCGTCATGTGAGACCGTGTCGGCTTTGGCGTGCCTGCCGCTAGGAGGCGTGGATCTTCTCTGCTGTCTCAGTGCTGCTGGGGAGCCAGCTCGACAGGCCGTGGTCGTCGACCGTGACGGCCACTGACGCCTCCACCAAGGGCTTCGGAGCGTGTGAGAAGGAGGTCGAGTTGTCGCAGGTTTCGGGGCTTGGAAAGTGGCGTGACAATTTTTTGGTTCAGGCGCCCCCAACCCGAAGAGTGGGCTCCCCGAAGAAGAGCTCCCGACGATTTCCCCGAGATCACCGACCCCGCTACCGTCATCGCGAACAACGTTAGAAAGGGGGGGGTGATCTACAAGGGCCCGTGCCGCTTCATCGAACGCAACGGGCTGAGGGAGGGGGGGGCTATGCTATGGGCATTGCGTCGTCTGGCCAAGAACCCCCAACGCCATCGCCATCGTCATCTCTTCCTGCTAGACAGTATCGGGGTCTGTTGCTGTTTCGATAGGGGTCGGTCTCCATCGCGTTCCATGTTGCAGCTAAACCGCCGCCTCGCGGCTCCGACTCTGGCCGCGAACATCGGGCCGCACTTCCGGTGGATCCCGTCGGAATGGCAGCCAGCTGACGAAGCCTCGAGGTCCTTCGAGGGCTTCTCTCTGGTGCATGACGGGCCCGTTGAGCGTGGCTGGGCGCGACGCCTCGGCCAGGCTGCCGCGGGGGAGCTCGGCCCGCGAAGCCTTGCCGAGCTCCGCGCCCCCAGCCCCCAAGAGGCGGCGGCTGGCGGGCCCCCCCCCCGAGGGCGGACCGCCGGTGCGGACCCCGCCCCTGGCCGCAAGGCGGACCCCCGCCAAGCGGCCTGCGGCGTGTCGGGGGCCTTCGGCGAGTCCAACCATGGCGCCCGCGGGCGCGGCCGGCGGCGGCGGCGGCGCCCCGGCCCCCTCGGCTGCGCGCGCGGCTCGCCGAGGCCCTGGAGTCGGGCCGCAGCAGCCCAGCCACGTCCGCGGCGCTCTCCAAGTGCTAGCAGGCCTCGGCGGCCGCTGGGGCGCGCGTCGGCTACAAGGCATGCTCCGACGCGTTCAACGAATTCTTGGGCGAGGAGGGCAGCGTGCCGACGACCATCGAGGACATGGAGGTCCGTGTGCTGCAGTTCCTCGACCTCATGCCGGATGCAGTATGCGCCAAGTCCGACGCGACCATTTTGGTGGCCGCGGTCAAGGACGCCTACCCTTGGCGCACGGGCTCGCAGTCGATGCCCCGCCTGAACAGGGGGGCTCCGTGGCTGCGCCAGGCGCGGGCCGCCGGCGCCCCGAGCCCCCGCCCCCCGCCAGCCCCCGCAGTCTCCGCGATGCTCGCGCGGAGGCAGCGGCGCGCCGACTTCCAGGTGGCGACGGCCTTCTTCGCGCGCATGCGTCCTGGAGCGCTGCGGAAGCTCCGGGCGCAGCAGCTGCCGGCGCCGTCTCGCAAGGTGGGGCAGCTGTAGTTCTGGAGTCTGATCTTGGCGCCGACTCGGACGGGCCTGGCGGCGCCAGGCGACCCGTGGGGCCCTCGCAGAGAGCTCGCCAAGACGGGTGCCTCGGACGAGACGGCGATCATCGATCACCCTGCGTGGCTGGGAGAGCGCCCGGCCACGCATGTCCGTGGGAAGGCGCCGACGGACCTGATCTTCCCGTCCCCCGGGGCGATCGTCGCGGCCCAGTTCGGGGTCCGTGCGAGGATGTGCGGCCTCCCCCGGGTCTGCCTGCACCAGCTTCGCCACGGGGGTGCGTCGGGCGACATCTTGTCTGGGCGGCGGGACCGCGAGACGGTGAAGGCCAGAGGTCGCTGCAGGGCCCACGCGTCTGTGAATCGGTGCGACAAGCCAGGAGCGGTGCACCGGTTGCTCAATGCGATGACGACGGCCTTCAGGGAGGTCGGGAAGCAGATGTTCGAGCTGATGGGGTCCCTGTACCTGGGCGCGTCCGAGGCCGAGCCCGTCCCCCTGTGAGCAGGGCCATCCCCGGCCCCTTTCCAGTCTGCGGAGACTGGGGCCCACGTGGCGGCCTCGTCCTCGCTCCCAGTCACTTTCGCTCTGGTCACATCGTTGCAGAGCTTATGGCTGGCAGCCGTGGCATCAGTAAAGCTTGTGAGAGTGTTTTTTGTTTTGTTTTTTTCACCAGGAGCTGGGAAATCAGTGACTCGGCCTGGGAGGATTGCCTGCGCGCTGACGTAATGTTCTGTTTGCGGTCAGCCGCCGCTCGTGGCGGGCTGGCCCTTTGCTGGATTGGCTTTGCGCGTGCTTCCTGGCCCCGGGCCCGCCAGAACCGTTCTGGTAAGAAAGGCTGGCTTGCGCCAGTCCGTGATCTTGAGCACATCCTCGGCCTCCCGCGCCTCTCTCCCGCAGATCAGCGGAAGGTCCTGGAGGGCAACCGCCAAGCAAGATGGGTTGCCAGGCTTCTTGAGACGCTCTCACGGCTTGGCGTCCCATGTCTGATTGAGATCCCATCTCACTACATATAAGCAGTTGCTCAGCAAGTTTAGTTCAGTTCAAATTGACAACTGTGCCTTTGACATGCCCTACAGAAAGCGTACCACCCTGCTCTTCTCTCATCTGCCCCTGGAGGAGCTCGCGGGTGCCCGGTGTGTGGGGGAGAATGGTCTGTGCTCGTTCTCTGGCAAAGCTCATATAGAACTCGCAGGGCGCACCCCGGACAGCAAACAGCTGTGGTCCCGGGTCGCCTCCGCCTATCCTCCCCAACTCTGCCTTCACATCGCCCGTATTTTGGGTCGTGTTTCGCCCACCGACCCCCCCAGTACATGATATGGGTAAGGGTGTTGATGCGGACGAGGTCCGCAGATTGCTGCTAAAGTGTGATTTTAAGTCCCCTTACTAAATCGTTAGAGCAAGCCGTGCTGCGTCTGCTGCAAAGATAGCCCACCCCGCCCACACTCATGGTTCTGTGTACGGGGTAGTGAGTGCCAGTGGTGGGTTTGGAATGGCGTTCTCTCGATTGCTTGCTCTGCAATCATTTGGCTCACAGGTGCTCTTTGTGTCTCCCCCCCTCCCTCTCTGCACGCTGTGGTGCTGATGCGGACGAGGTCCGCAGATAGCTGCAATCGTGTGTTCTAAAACCGTCTTTAAATCGTTGGATCAAGCCGTGCTGTGTCTGCTGCAAAGATAGCCCACCCCGCCCACACTCACAATAATCAGCGCATTGCGCGAAATCGTAGCGGGAGGTGGTCTGCTCAGCGACGTCGAGGGTGATGTGCCTATGCACTTTTACAGGGCGCGATCTGTCCACACTCCTTGGCCGAGAGTGATGGGCCTACTAACATCGACGGGGCGATAGACCCGCGCACCTTCACAGGGGGGCAGAAGAGCAATTGTCCTCGGCAAAATCAGCGCGAAAACAATGCTGTGGCACCTGCCGCTCTTTCGCGCGGCTTCGGCGATCCCGCGCAGACAGCCGGGATAGATTGCCCCATGCGCGTTGGCCGCGCGAGATGTTTCAAAGGGCGCATCGGTGTTTTGGTTCTCTTCCCAACGCCCTCCCAACCCCGAGAGGGTGGTGGGCGAGGGAATGGCACTTCGAACTCACATTAAGGGACGTCCAGAAGTCGTGCGACAAATCAATACTATTCTCAGGGAGGTTTGACGGGAGGAGGAGGAGAAGGACGAGAAGGAGGAAAGGGCAGGGTGACGTGGGGCACTGTGGGGGATTGGGGATGAGAGTGGAGGGGGAGGATAAGTTGATGGGGGCTGTTGGGGAGGAAAAGGGGGATGAAGAGGAGCAGTCAGATCATAGCAACATTTGCACGTATCCACCGATGCTGCAATACGCCTTCCCCTCCCAAGTCCCTTCAATAGTGAACGAGTAGTTGTTCAACTATCGCAAACGCCCGCTGGAAAGGTTGCACTCGCATGTGCTGAGATGTAGGCCGCTGCAACATGCACACATCTTGAACCGGGAATCTTGAATACACATGTGCATGTCACCGATGCGAGAGCACGGTTTTGAAACAGAGCCGACCTCTACCAAATAATTGTTGGCAGTTCAGGCTATATGCTAATGCAGTGTTGGGAATTCCTTGGCAAGGTATCGATTTTGAAATGAGGTCGCCATTCTTCGTAGTTGTTACAGGAACTTGCATCTGTCAAGTTTCGGGGCCATGCCGTGTGAGAACGTCATATGTGGTAAACATGTTTCAAGCTAGGGGTTTCAAGCTTTATGAACATGGACCGCCATCCATTCGCGTAACGGCTGGAGGTTCTTAGAAATATGTGCGCGGCGTTGAAGTGAGTGCGATATTTTGAAAATTAAACAATCAACACGCATGTGCGCGGCCTACATGTGCAAGCTAGGCTTTGAAGATTGCACTTGCTTCACCCGTAAAGCTGTTTTGGATCTTATATGGTTGGTCTATGCGCGGGGCATGAAGGCAACACTGTGTTTAATTGAATGTAACAGGAACGGCACGTCCTCCATCTGTGTAGCTACTGCAATCGGTTAAGAGAACGTTCGCAGCGTTACAGCAAGACCTCGGCGTCGTGAAAAACGGCCTGTGCTCTATTAACGTAGTTGTATGCGCATTTGTAGGACGAGTGAGCGCGGCGCTCAGGCGAGCGCCATGTCTGATCCCGAGCTGTCCTCCATGTTTTTTTTATTGTGTGTGTGCGTGTGGTAGTTCAAGGTGAATGTGCGCGGCCCTCAGGATACAGCCAGGTTTGAAACCGATGTCTACTCCACTCGTTCCGCTTTCAAGAGGAGTATGCGCAGCGCTCAGACGAGAACCACATTTGGAACACTGCATACCCTCCACCCGTATCACGGGTGGAAGCTTTCAAAATGAATGTCCGAGGCATTTAGGTGAGGGCCAGGTTATGAACACGTCCCGCCCTCCATCCGTATTGATATTGGAGTGTTTTGATCGTGAGCCGTCAACATATATATATATAAATATGGTTGAGCGCTTTGAGTTGTTCGAGCTTGATGCTTGCTTGTTGGGGTCTTGCACAATCAATCTTGCGGTGAAGACAGGCGAAACGCCGGTGCCGTCCTACCAACGTATTTGGTGGCGGGATGAGGAGGCATACTCGTGAAGACGAGGGGTGGGGCATGATGGTGAAACGGAGATCGCGGGAAGGATGAGGTGGATGCAGGTGGCTGATGGCTTTTATGGTCGCCGCAGCCAGGGTCATCGCCGCCGTGGCTGTGGGCTTCGTTGTCGTCTTGTTTGTGTTCTACATAACGCTGGCTCCACCTCCTTCTCCTTGCCCTCCGCCTTCGCCCTTCTCCCCTCGTGCATCCTCCCCCACGTCCGCCTCCACTGCTACCTCCTCCGCGTCTTTCCGTACACCCTACCTCTATTTCTACGTCTTCTTCCATTCCTCTTCGCCTTCTTTTCTTTCCCTTCATTTCCTCTTCCGAAGGAGAAGGATGGGGAGGAGGAGCACAAGGAGGGGAGGGAGGGAGGGAGGGAGGAGGAGGAGGGAGGGGGGAGGAGGAAGAGGGAAGACAAGGAGGAGAGAGCACGACAAGGAACATGAGAGGGAGGAGGATTCGGAGGATGAGGCGGAGGAGGGGAGGCATAGGATTAGGAAACGGTAGAGAGGATGAGGCGGAGGAGGATGAGGAGGAAGATGAGGTGAGGCAACATGCCCCGCCTCATATTTGCCTAAAGCCAAGAAAGGATGATGAAGAGGCCGTCGACGACCAGCCAACCCGCACCCGCGCGCGCGAAGTCGGAGCTGGCCATGTCCGTCGCTGCCAGCGTCACAGGGTTGGCGGTGTCGCTGGCTTTCGTGGCCTACGGCGCCCCTGGGAGGGGG